CCCCCTCTCTCTCTCTCTCTCTCTCTCTCTCCCTACCAGCGTGGGTGAGTATTTGGAATGGTCGACCCAATTGGGGTTGGCCCCCTTGTCGAGGAGCAGCTGGATGATCTCGGGTGCGTTGCTCTCGCACGCTACGAAGAGTGGCGACTTGAATCCTCGAGGCTTCAACGCTGGCGCCACGAAGTTGAGATTCGCTCCATGGTCCAGCAACATCTACACACACACACACACACACACGAGCAGAAGCACAGTGCCTGTCTGGTGGTGGTGAGAGGGGAAGGGGTGGCAGATTTACGTGAAGGATGTCGATATTCTGGTTGTGTACGGCGATCTTGAGGGGCGTGGGGCCGAGAAGGTCGTAGGGGTGGACACACGCGCCGTGCTCAATCAACGTGTGGACCACATCCTCCTGAATGAACCACACACAGGCACATGAGGCACATGAGTGAGTGTGAGGCCCCCGCGCCGCCCGTGCCGTGTGGAGTGTGTGTGTGGACCAAAATGGCCCCATATATACCTACCTGGTCCGTCTTGCAGGCGAGAAACAACGGTGAGTTGCCGAGGTAATCCCACACATCGACCTTCGCTCCGTGCCGCAACAACTACACATCATCACCATCACAGACAATACACACAGTCCACCCATCATCCCATCATGCCATCCCATTCACCCCTCCCTCTCTCCCTTCCCGAGCTCACTCACCACGGCGAGCGTGTTGATGTCCATGCCCTCGATAGCGACAGACAGGGGGTGCGTCCAGAGGTACACATCCTCGGCGGGCGCCGCGCTGGGCTCCTTCAGGCTGCCGCTGGCGTAGGTGTGGGTGGGCTTGGGGTGCTCCACCGCCGCCTTAGCCGCCTTGACGTGGTGCGTGCAGGGCGAATTCACCAGCAGCTGGTCCCCCTGGTACTTGACGATCTGCAGCAGACGGTACTGGGCGTGCGGGGCCTTCTCGGCTGTCTCTACCACCTGACAGACAGATCGACAGCACACACACACACAGAGACAGAGACAGAGAGGGGGTGCTGGTGTCGGTGTGGTGTGGGCTGACTGACCATGTGTTTCATCTTCTTGGCGATCTTTTCGCAGACGTCGGCGACGCGCAGGTGCACGGCCTGGCCGAACCGCTTGACGGGGTCGTGCAATCCTATCTTCTCCAACAAACACTTGGACGCCCTGACAAAACACAACACACACCACATCACACATCACACATGCCCACAGCTCACTCACTGAGTGACTCACCAGCTGCCGTTGATATCGAGCTTGGGTGCCTTCTTCAGCCTCTCAGCCCTGTCAGCGAGGAACTCGGCCACGTTCTCGATGTGCTCCAGCCACATGCTCGTGAAGGCGCAGTTGAACTGGTGGAATCGCGGCCACCGCTCAGCCGACAGCTCACGCAGGATCGGCTCGCCTATCAGCTCCTTGTTGCGGGCACAACGCAGCGACAGACGCTCCAGACGGGGCAACGGCGTGCTCAACAAGGCCTCCAGCCCTGCACCACCACCACCACCACACACAGACACACAAATGCATCTCTGCGTTGAATGGGCCGACTCGACTTGCCTTTGTCGGTGATGAGGTAGCAGAAGTCGAAGGAGAGCGATCGGATTGAGGGCCCGACCTTCTCGACGATCCGGACGAGCGAGCTGTCCTTGAGCAGGGTGCACTGACCGAAGTCGTAGGCGCACTCTCGCTGGGCCGCCGGGTGCAGGCACCGTTGCAGCAGCGCCAGAATCGACTCGACGACCACGCGACTATCGATGCCTCGCAAACCTGACAGACAGACATCGTGACACCATGACACACAGAGATGCCTACGCTTCGACCGACATAGCTCCCTACCGGAGAAATCGAGTGCTACTGGGTTCCATTTGTGCGCCAGGAATAGGAATGCCAGCTGCCTCAGCGCCAGCATGGAAAAGACGTCCACGTAGTTCTCCAGGAAGGGCAGCATCACCCGCCAGGCCGTCATGCCGCCCCCGCCCTGCCGAGTCGACAACGGCGGACCCGCCTCCTCCTCGTGCGTCGCGCTGGTGCTGGTGCTCAGCGCGCCGTTGGCCGAGTGGTGGTCATCATGGGTCGTGTGGGTCTGGGGGTTGCTCTCTGGGTCAGGGGGGCTCTTCGTCGCGGGGACGGTGGGGGACGCCGGGTGCTCCTCAATCTTGCCCTCCAGCCGCCGTGCCTCGGCGAAGCGCGTCTCAGGCGACGACGACTGCGTGGCCGGCGTGTGGCAGTGGTTGGGCGACGGGGGGTCTCGGG